TATCACATGAGCCCCTCTAATGTGTTGCTGATTAAAGTCAATCCCGGCGCAAACGATCATCTCATGGGGTTGGACTGCACTGATCTTGGGTCCTCACAGAGCTACTGTGGCCTGAAATCCTCTCCTGCCTCATTCGTACGTGGCCTCTGGGGACCATGGGCTTCCAGCTTCCACCCACAAACAGCCACCTAGTGGTCCTAGGATTGAGCAGGCCATGGCCGCAAGGCCTCAGAGCTCTGTTATGGCAGGGCCCCGTGTGGCAGAATGCTGCTCTCTTCCCAGACATTCTCGGTCATAGCCATGGAGGTGAAGGTCAGAGAGACACTCTGGGCTTGCCCGGCAGTTGGGTGGCCTCCATTTCCCGGGAGTCCCTCACTCTGAGCAGCACTTCTGTTCTCCAGGAGTCACCGTTGCTTGGAGTGCCCACAATGTCTGCCTCGAAAATACCTGCCTCTTCCCCAACCCACCCTCTCTGCCTATCCCAGGCTGGTCTTGACAGATGGCCTCACAGGCTGATGTGTGGCGGGGTTACCCACAGCAGGGATGGCTGAGCCTGCAGAGCCGGTGACGGTGGGCGTGACATTCCCTTAGCTCACTTTGATGTTCTGGAGCCTGGGAGTCCTGCGCCTATCACTTTCAAACTCTGTTTGTTGTGTCACTTGGGCATTTGTGCCCACCGCTGGCAGAAGGGGTTGCTTCATGTCCGTGTAAAACATTCTGTCTTCCGGATTTGCACAAGGTCATCGTTTCAGCCATCACTGGAGCCCTTCTGTCTTCCTCTTCAGTTTGGAACCACAAGTCTTTTTCATCGCTATAAGGAAATGATGCCAGAGGTTCGTTAGCTCACAGTCTGGGGCGACACTCAAGATTCTGGTGAAGCCATCGTCACGGACAGCAGATGGGAACGAGAGGAGCATGGGTTAGAGTGAGTGCTGTGCCAGTTGCTTCTCCAGGAGAAACAGAGTGTGGGTGGCATGAGGCTTGCCCCCTTTGCCGCAGCTCTCACAAAGCCGTAAAGGGTTGCAGGAGCACAGCCTGATGCTGCCAGTGACCCGAGGACCTCCCAGCAGTCACAATGGACCTTTGAGGGCCTCTCAGACCTTACCCATGTCAGTGCAGTGCGAACTGATTGCTGCAGGGATGGGTCTGTTCCACCCTAAGTGCATGTGGATAATGCAGGGATGGGTCTGTTCCACCCTAAGTGCATGTGGATACTGCAGGGATGGGTCTGGTTCACCCTAAGTGCATGTGGATACTGCAGGGATGGGTCTGGTTCACCCTAAGTGCATGTGGATACTGCAGGGATGGGTCTGGTCCACCCTAAGTGCATGTGGATACTGCAGGGATGAGTCTGGTTCACCTTAAGTACACATGGACACTGTAGAGATGGGTCTGTTCCACCCTAAGTGCATGTGGATAATGCAGGGATGGGTCTGTTCCACCCTAAGTGCATGTGGATACTGCAGGGATGGGTCTGGTCCACCCTAAGTACTGCAGGGCTGCAGGCAAGGTCTTGGGTTGCGGTGGTTCTGGGTACGGAGGTCCTGCACCCTCCCGTCCTTCTTGGTACTAAACATGATAGCCTTTGCCACATCTGCTCAGAGACCTCTGGGAGTCAGTGCTTCTCTAAAGAGAACCTGGGCACTATGGGGTAGGATTTTTTTGTTTAAGGTCACAGATTTCTGGGCCCCTGAGTCAGAGGCTCTAGAATGTGCACGTTTGTAGCTCCTCAGGGAGATGATGTGCAAGCTTCCAGCTCCACGGAGCAGTCTTGGGGCAGAGCACCAAGCCGCACTATAAGTGGTGTGTCCCATGCCAGGCCTCTGCTGGAGGAGCAGGGACTGGCCAGCTGGGGAATGGGTAGATGATGCTTCGCAGCTGCCCTGGGTCTCCACTGGGCTGGCATGGGGGCACAGAGGGCTTTGTGCGCCCGGAACTGGACCAATGTGACGAAGACATGCTGGGAATGGTAGCTTGCATTTGATGTGGGCCTGACAGCCCAGATCCATAGTGTGCGCTGGCAGGCATGTGACCTCCATGCAGTTCCCAGGTGTGCCACCCTCTGGCATGGAGCTCTCCAGGTATACGGCCTCTGTGTGCATAGAAGCCCTTCATTTCCATCTGGGGATCTATGATCGAAGGAGACGGTTATCCCTCCAGATGTCTGCTAACCAGGAATGAGGAGGCATTGTCTGAGGCTTAAAGCAATTCTGCGATTGCTTATTTTTAACCGAATGTGAGAATAAAAGTAATATGGCCCGACAGCCATCGATCCTTCACTGGCATTTGCTACTTGAAAAGAACCCAAGACCACAAACCAGAAACATTCCTCAGAGCTTAGTAAATCTCAGTCACAGCGACACCTAATCCTGGGATTGTCTTTTCCCCACAGGCAGCCTGGTTAATATGTCCCTCACTCTGATCCCTAGGATGCTGGAGGGTAGCCAGGTGTGGGCTAGGCTGTTGCTGCCTTCTGCCACATGCCTGTGCCATTCAGCAGGACTGTAGCCTCGGAGCAGTGTGTATTTATTCCACAGGTGTTCTCTGGGTGCTAGCATGTGGGGATTTGCATAGCGTGAGTCACTGAAAGTCATGTCCCTGAGGTCTTAGTGCCCTAATGGGATAGGTCCTGGGGCTCTGTCTTGGGGAGGAAACCATGAGTGACTAAGAGCTGGAATGGCCTGAGTCCTGGTAGCTTGGGGGCCAGCTGGAAGGGTACTGGTGGGATCTGGCCTCTGTCCCTGGGATGGTGATTCTTGAGTCTGCTCTCAGGTTGGGCTCGCCCACCCATCCCCAGTGGCCTCAGATGAAATATTTTCTGATTTGAGGCCACTCTGTTCCTGGGTGACCACACTAGGGGTGACCAGACATAACAGATGAAAATACACCCAGTTAATGGGAGTCTCCAGCGAGAACATCTTAGCTTATGTCTCATGAAAGGGACACTCATCCAACTGATGGAGTTTCTGCAGTGTCTCTTCTCTAGGTGGGGTCAGCTGAATGTCAGGGTCTCAGCTAAAAACACACAGAAGATATGAAGGTGCCCAGAAAACAGCGAGGCGCCCAGGCACACAGTCAGCCAGAAACTAGAGTGAGGCACCCAGGCACACAGTCAGTCAGAAACCAGAGTGAAGCATCCAGATACATAGTCAGTCAGAAAACAGAGTGAGGCACCCAGACACACAGTCAGTCAGAAAACAGAGTGAAGCATCCAGACACACAGTCAGTCAGAAAACAGAGTGAGGCACCCAGACACACAGTCAGTCAGAAAACAGAGCAAGGCACCCAGGCACACAGTCAGCCAGAAACTAGAGTGAGGCACCCAGGCACACAGTCAGTCAGAAAACAGAGCAAGGCACCCAGACACACAGTCAGTCAGAAACCAGAGTGAGGCATCCAGGCACACAGTCAGAAAAAGTCGCTGTGGACTTGGTCAGTTCCTCAGTGGGGTGTGCAGAGGTCTTCAGGTGTGAGGTCTGGAAAAAAGTTGTATTCAGACCCCACTGTGAGTACCAGACGGGTGTCTGAACCTGATGCTGCTGGAGATGATATGAACAACAACCAGCTTTTCTGAGACAGGCGACCTGAAGTCTTCTGCAGAGGAGGGAATCAAGGCACAGAAAAGCCACGCAGGTTGTTTAGGTTGTTTGGGGTCATACAGTCCGTGGGTGGGACTGCCGCGTGTTCAGAGGGAAAGGCTGTGGTCGGAAGCCCCAGCGTTTCACGGCTCAGCTGGTGGGAGCCAGCAGGTTCCAGGGAGGAAAGTCAGGCTGACTCTCCAGGGCATCTACCTACACAAAGAGTGCTCCCTGTCGTCCTCATTCATAATCTCCTAGAATGACTGACAGCCTTGGGAGCCCCGATGGCCGTTGCAGGTTGAGCTGGAGTGCAAGTGTGTGTGTGTGTGTGTGTGTGTGTGTGTGTGTGTGTATCTGTCTGTCTGTCTATCTGTGTGTTGGTGTGACTGTGTGGTACCCATCACTTCTCTAGACAGGACTTCTGAGCAAGCCTGAGCTCCAGCCCCAAGGGTCACAGGCTTAGGTGCTGTGACCTGCACCATGTCCAGCTGTGATAAGAAGGAAGCTGCAGTGGCCTTGGTCACGATTGGAGGCGCTAGCCTTTCAAAATGAGGCTCACCGTCTGGGGAGGCAGCTCAGTTGGTGAAGCGCTTGCCATGAAAGCAAGAGGACCCGAGGCCAATGCCCAGCACCCAGGCGAAGAGCCAGACATGACAGCACACACTTGCAATCCCGGGGCTGGGGAAACAGAGGCAGGCAGGTCCCTCCACCAGATAGCCCAGTCTACTTTGTGAGCTCCTGGCCAGTGAGAGACCTCATCTCACGAAACAAGGCGGATGGTGCTTGAGGAGTGACGTTGGAGGTCCTCCTCTGACCTCTACATGCGCACATGCCCACACGGACCTTCTCTCTAGCTGCCCCCTCTCAACACACAGTGAAGCGTGTGAGACCCAAAGCATAGCACGTCGGTATTTTTTCAGCAGATGTGAGGGGCTGGGCCATGAGTTGGGACAGGGGCCCTGCGACCTTCATTCCTCTGGATTTGGGTTGCCTGCGCATGGAGGCTATCCGTGTGGGCATGGGTGCCTTTGTGTGTGCGCATGCCTCGAGACTCTGTACTCAAACCATCATGCAACCTTCACGTTGCATGTGCTTGTGTCTGCACAGAGCACGTATGGTCACATACCTCACACCTTACTGACAGCAGCGTCCGGCCACCCTGTACCCAACCCCGAGGTTCACAGATGTGGCCTGAGTCATCCAGGAAGTGGGGGAGGTCCAGAGGTCTGGGGCCAGGGTGCAGAAGCCTACACCACTGTTGTCTTGTTTCTGGTCACAAAGGCAGTAGGAAGGCTCCCTGGGAAGTGTTGTGGGCCCAGCCAGTGCCTGGGACAGCCTATTGCTATGGAAACCTACATCAAAGACGGGCAGGCTGACCTGCCAAATCATAGACCCATAGAAATAACACACTACACAAAGATCACCACTTTAAATATTAAAATATATTATGTACACACTCTTAACCAAAAACGGTTTGCTCGGACACGAGTCACATGACCAGGTACAAAACTGATTCCATAAACACTGTTCAGTGCAAAATGTAAGTCCAGACATAACGATCGATTCAAGTTGCTCCTGCCTGGCAGTAGAGACCTTCCACCGGGCTCCAAGCACAGGCAGCAGGAGCAGATTCAAGCAAAGCGTCAAGTAGCTGGCTCCACAGGGTTATACCACCCGGGGCACTGTTGCCCTGCTCGGGGCTCCTCAGTAGACACAGGAAGTCAGGGCCAGGTGGCATTCCGTGAAATGTAGTGGTGCCTAGGAGACTCTAGGGTTTGGGGGTTGTGTCTGGTTCGTATGTGACACACTCCTTCCCCCCTTAGTGTCCCAGAGGCTGCTCAGTCACAGTACGGAGCAGCACGAGGCCCCAGAATGCAGTGCGAGGTTCCACGTGGTCCTTAAGGGTTACCGCCCTGTGAGGGGTGGGGGTTCACGAATACCAGAAGAGACCTCAGGCCCGCGGTGTCAGACGTTGCTCTGGGGCTGTTCTGTGGGGTTGTCGGAGGCTGAGGACTGGCTGGGCAGGGAGGTCTCCAGGCCATCTGAGGACGCCTTCGGGGACTTGTACAGGAAGTAGGCAGTGACAAAGAAGATGAAGCCCAACACCTGGGGAGACAGGAGGAGATGCTGCCCCTCTGTGCTCAGCCTGGGGGCTGCTTTTGTAACACCCTCCCGGGCCCTACTCTTTCTGGAACAAAGATGACACCGACACCGTTTCCTGCGTAGCCAATCCCTCGTGGGGCAGGTGGGCGGGGGGGGGGCGGAACTTCAATTAGAGACTGAAAACTACCATTTGGTTATAGGCAGAGCCAAGGCAAGGTGGGAGGGCTTAGGCACTGACTGGACAGGGTCCCCCAGAAGACATGCGCCAGCCCTTGCCCCAGACAACGCGGGCTCTTCGAAGGTTTGAGAAAAGACCTCAAGGTGAGGTCACCTGGATGATTCGGGGCTTCCCCGGAACCCCATGGCTGTTCCGTTGCGTGCGGCCGAGTAGGGGGGGCGGAGTGGGAGGATGGTGAGGGAGAGGGTGGGCAGTGGCCCCGGTGGAGCCAGACCCCCGGAAGGCGGTCTCACCTTGAAAGTGAGCCCTGCAATGAGCATGTAGCGGCTCATGGCTTCATTCTGGTACACGTAGCAGGAACCCTGGTGGCCACACTGGTCCTGCCACAGCAGGCAGGCCTTGTCAATCACCCAGCCAAAGGCAATGGGCCCCGGAATACTGCCTGCCAAAGGAGAGAGTTCGCTTAATGCCCTGGTGGGGGAAGAAAGGAAGAGGGGGTACAGGGGGAAGTCCTTTGCAAGGCCATATCGACCGTTATCGTTCTCAGGGGGCACAAAGGGGACTTAACTCCTTTTCCTGAAGAGTTGGCATTGGGCAAGGAGTGTCAAGGTTTCTCAAGAGGGCCCTTTTGTGTAGAGGCAAAGAAACCTACCGGGTAAATAAATGACAATGGGGCCCTCTAGTGGGCATCTAGGGAAAAGGCCCATCTCAGTGTGGCCACGACCCCCGTACCCGCATAGGAACACACAGCTTGGTGACAGGACACCCCCTAGGTTCCCTATTCGTGAAGGCACCGCACAGCTGCACGTGGCTTCCTCACCCCCACAGTACCTAGTGTTCTCACGACAATCCACTGGATCCCCAGGGCAAAGGACCTTTGCTGGTCACAGACACACCTGCAATGCAAAACGGCAATGTCAGAGCCCATGGCAACCTGGCCGCAAACCTCACACACACACACACACACACACACACCCCTAAGCCAGCAAGAGTCCTGGTCACATCGCCACCTCCCCAGGTGCCAAACACCTCGTTGGGGACCAGAGACAATCAGCCCCGATGCCACCCAGAACGAGGCCCATTTCCCGGGCCTGCACGCTACCCCCGGGGGGCCCCACCAGCATCCGCAGAGCGCCACCTGCTGGTACTGAAAGAGAGAAGGGGGGAAAATGTGGTGAGAGCTTCTTACCGTAGGGTAGCGGTCAGGGCCGGAATGCTGCTGAGGAATGTAAAGATAATTACAACGAACACGAGAGCCAGAAGAAGAGGCTTTCTCTGACAGGTGGAAGTGCACTTCCCTGCGGTAGCATTGCCCAAGCCAGAGGAAACCTTCTCAAGGACACAGCTACAGCCTCGGTATATCTGGGGAGCCCAACAACAACGCTGATCATACAAGAAGGCAGGAGGCTTCCCCGGTCCCGGCCACGGTGGTGGGCAGTGGGCAGTGACCACGCTCACCTTCTGGCCAACCGGGTCCGTCTCAGCGCCCGCAGGGCAGCCCGCATAGCAGGGCGAGTAGTACATGATGCCGTCTGAGCCGCACACGGGGCTGTAGTGCTCTGCCTGGCAGCAGTAGATGGCGTTGCAAGCCGCCTTCAGGTCCAAGTGGCCTTCAGGGAGGGGGCTGCAGAAAGAGGTTGTGGTAGACGGTGGGTCAGCAGGTGTGCAGGCACGCTGGTACCCTTCCCCGCCCCTGTGTTGCTGTTACCTTGCCCCGCCCTGCCCTGCCCTGCCCGGCCCTGCCCCGACGCCGGTGCCAGCCCTCCTCAGGAATGCCGGGGAGGGGGGTGCGCTCTACCAGGCTCACCTCCCAACGTAGCTGGTTGTCACGCCTGCCATGGGCATGTTGGGACAGTGTGTGAGGAAGACAAAGAAAGCCAGGAGGCTTGTCGAGGTGCAGAACAGACAGAACCGGATGATCCCAGAGCCACGGAGCTTGAACCTGTTCACCAGGAAGCCACCCAGGAGGGTGCCACCACCTCCCGCAGGCACCACCAGGTATCCTGAGGAAGGAACTCAGTGAGAGGCCCCCAAAACCCCAGTCCTGTGGTGTCGCATCGTTACCGTGGACACTGAGGAAAGGGGAGAATGAGCGCCCCGTGGGTGTTCAGGGATAGCTGTGGGAGTAGGGTGGGATCTCTCAGGCCACCTGGAGGCCCAGAGCTCGATGACTAAGGCCCATCCGTGGCTATACACGGGGTGGGGTTGTCAACACAGAAAGGTGCTAAGAAAGGGAGGGACCACCGGGTATGAGCATTTGGGGCCAGGTAAGGGGGTGTGTCTGGGGAGAGTGGGGTCACCAGTATGACACCCTCTCACTACCCAGACCATGAGACCCACAGGGTGGTCTACAGCTGATGCTTTCCATCCACCCTGGTATCAATGACCCTAGGCTGAGCCCGGTGCTGACCAGTGCATGGGGCATCTCCAGCCAAAAGTGTGATCGGTAAGACCGAGTCCTGCCCTCAGCATAGGGAGGGGGCCCATGGGTGCTGGCTGAGCCAGGGCTCTAATGGTACCCACTCTTGCAGTCCCTGCAAGGCCAGCCTGCCCCAGAGTTGAACTTAGATCCCCAAGACTCTAGGGGCACCAGCTGCATGGCTCGTGGGGATAGCCAGGCTCAGCCTGTTTCTGCAATGTGTGGTGGGCAAAGCAGCTTGTAAGTGGGAGCTGACCCTGCCCTCCCTCTCGGAGCATCGTCCACTGGGAGTCTGAAGGCCGGGGCTAACATGCGCTGGAGGCATAGCTCTCTCTGCCAAGGACGCCAATGCTCAGAATCCTTACCAAACAACGTGGCAGCCTCAGAGGCACTCAAGCTGAACTGGGCCTCGAAGAATTTGGGACCAAAGGTGGACATGCCGGCGATGAGTGTGGCTTCAGTGGCCCCTGCCAGGCAGAGCAGGATAAATGTGGGGTTTCTTAGGAGGAGCCAGATGGAGCTGGGTGAAAGGGGAACAGAAGCCAGAAAGAGTCGGACCGTCAGAATGGGCCACATTGTGTGTGCAAGGAACCCGCCATTCCTGAGGCTGTTCACACACAAAGGGACCCTGGTTTTGTGGAGGCGACGAAGTGGTACCCACATCTATCCCAGAGACACCGGGAGGGGCTGGAAGGCTGGGCCGGGCAGGTAGTGAATTAATGGCCCCCACTGTGAGGCTTTGGCACACCTACCCTCAAAGTTACTGAAACCGGTTACAAACACTAGTCACTGCTATGACTATCTCCAGTGTGGGGACAAGGAGAGAGCTCCCCCTAGTGAATGAAGACAGTAATCACTTCTGGTAGCCACTGTAACAAAGTAGCAGAGACTCTGCATGAGAAGACGGTGATCACTGTGACAAAGTAGCAGAGGCTCTGGGTGAGAAGACGGTGATCACTGTGACAAAGTAGCAGAGACTCTGGATGAGAAGACGGTGATCACTGTGACAAAGTAGCAGAGACTCTGGATGAGAAGACGGTGATCACTGTGACAAAGTAGCAGAGGCTCTGGGTGAGAAGACGGTGATCACTGTGACAAAGTAGCAGAGGCTCTGGGTGAGAGTGACGGCCAAGCTCAGGGCTGGACAGGCCTAGGAGGGGGACTACCAAGGAGTGGGGGGATCTCCAAGGGGTAAGAGGTCACCAAGGTACAGAGATCTAGATGGCACAGGAGTCATCAAAAGAGGCACAGGTTCCCAACCACAAGCTCTGGGGAGAAAGGGGCAGGAGTTTGCATTTGGAGACAGGGGCCTTCAAGGAGTCCCTAGTGGGTTTGACTAACTCCCTTCCTCCTGGCCTGTACTTAGGGGACAGTGGCTATAGGGGTGATGACAGGATTCGTAGTCAGATGCAGGCTGCTAATCCCACAGTGACTTTGTCCTGGAGTCCTGAGAATCTAAGGCCCCAACACTGCAACCCCCGGCTCTTTCCCTCCCCGAGCCCGGGATGTGAAAGGGATCAGTCACACAATAAGAAGGTGCCTGACTTGCCTTCCCAGGACCACATGGCGGAGTAGCCGGGGTGCGGCAGCACAGACCGTGCCAGGATAGCACACCCATCCGGGCAGCGATTCTAGAGGCACTGCCTACCTGCTGGCTGGCAGTCAGGCTTTAGCTTCCCTGGGGGTGAGGGCTATGTGCTGACCGTGGGGTTAAACATGAGATATCACAGAAGTCTGGTTGGCGTGTAACACTGCAAAGCCCCTGGGCACGGAGTCTGGGGGACACAGCTGGTCATCGTGCGAGGGACTGCAGCGCAAGGATCTCATCACAGGTCGCACAGGGGCAAGGCCTTCCTTTGAAGCCAGCTCATGGGGCAGTAACTACGCTAGTGTTGGCTAATGCACGGGGCAGTAGCTACACTGTCTTCTGTAGCAATGCCTGCCTGCAGAAGCCTGGGAAGGCGATCGGTTCTCAGGGAGAGGACAGACACCGCAGCTCGTATGCTGTGCCGCATCTATTCTGCTCCTTTGGCTCATCAATGCTTGGTGAGCTGGTGCCCGCTCCCTGCCTCCTGTGTGAGTGGCCCCCCACCCCCACCCCCACCCCACCCCACCCCCACCCCCACCCCCATGGGAGTCGCTCTCTTCGACAGATCCAGACCGAAGAGATGACAGGCCCTGAGCATCAGTGAGAGAGCTCCTCCGCACAGCTTCCCACTGTGCCAGGGGAGGATGTGAGCCCAAAGTACACCTTGCTCTGAATAGACACCGGGACCGGCTCACAGCCCCAGCGCTGCCCGTAAGCAGGCTCCATGAGGGAACCTCCTGATTCCTAGGCACGGACCCAGAACATTGGGCGGTCCGACAGGCCCCAGTGACACACTCACAGGGATCCCTTCTGAGGCAGAACACACCCGATTCTTTTACGTTTTACTTGTTAACTTGAGGGCTGAACAGTCTTCCCAGCCAATCGCTCAGCTCTGTGCTTTGATGAAAGAAAGAAAGAAAGAAAGAAAGAAAGAAAGAAAGAAAGAAGGCAGGCGTGGAGGAACCCAGCCCCGACAGGGACCCTACAGGCTCAGGGTGCTGACCCCTCACAGCACCCCCCTCCGCAGCTGGGGTGTAGCTGGTGTGGGATATAGCCATGCACAGACAGGCTGATCCATTCCTAAGCTATTGCCTAGGCCTGCTTAGCTTCAGGCTGTCGGTTGCTGAGGATAAGGGCGGCTCTGCCATGCGGAACGTGTTACACAGGGCATCTAATCCCACTGCAGGGTGGTTGGCTGAGACTTTTGAGTCTTCCCGAGAACTGGCCACGACTGCCCTGACCGTAAAGGAGGCATACTGTGCGTGTTTGTTCCAGCAACTGGCTTTAGACACCAACCCTGGTCATGCACCTCTGTCTCTTAGTGCAGAGTGATTGGTAAGAGGCCCAGGTTCCCCAGCTGGGTTAGGCATGCTATGCTGCTGCACCAGAGGGCTTGACACCAGACAGCTCTGCTGTTGGGGTGAGGAGAGACCAACTTTAAAACCAACTACTAGACCATGGTTAGCAGGCCCTCAGCCAGCTCAGCCATGCCTGGAGCTCAGCCCTCTTAGTTAGGCAGCGGCGCCTGGCTCTCCTAGGTGGGCAATTATGAGATACAAAGCCTGTGAGACCAGCCTCACTTTGTTCCTCTGGGCTCTCTGGGGGCGGGGGCTCCCCTTGCCCTCCCTGTGTTAAGGACAGGCTGTGGAACTCAGCCCCACCCACAACAACCCTCCACTCCCAAGTGGTCCGTTAGATGCCACCATTCATAAAATCAGGACGTAAGAAGGAGTTGCAATGCGTCCCAAAGGCCACATTCCCTAGGTCTATGGGAACCTCAATTTTGCAAGGAGCAGACAGTAGGTAGATACCAGGAACTCCTAGAATCCACATTGTCCTCTAAGACCCCAGTAGCTCAGAGACTGTACCTTGATGCGTAAAGACAGCAGAGCCAGGACAGACAGACAGAAAAGGGGATGCAGGAAGTGAAGAAAAGGGAGCCAAGGTGTAGCGCACAGAAAAAAGGCCACCCCAGGGGAAGATGAACGGCCAATGAGGGAGGCAAGAGTTGGAAGAGGCCTCTGCTCCTGTGGTTCTCCGTCCTAGGTGGTACAGAATTGCACCTCCTTGGAGTTTCGGATAGCAAATGCATTGGTGATGCCCAGTGAAAAGACAAGAGTGGTCTACACTGCCTGAGGGGCCTTCTGGGGGGAGGGCCCCAGGGCCTGCAGGAAAGACATTTGCTCTGTGGGGCTTCCCACAGTGATTCTGCCCTCAACCAGGACCTGTGCCTTCATCCAGGAGCTTGCTGCACCTGCCTCAGGGTGCTTGGTGGGCCAAGAAGGGGGATTCAGAGGCTGTGGGTGGCGTCGGACCCACGGCACAGCACACACTCACACACACATGCACACGCACACACACACATGCACGCGTGTTCCTTACAGGGGCAGGTCTCTGACAGTCTTGCCGAAAGCCGGATTGCTCACTGTTCTGTGGCTGTGGTCTTTTAGCTGCTGTGTTTCAGTTGCTCTCATCACGACGTAGCGCTGGGAGCCTGCAGGGGTAGAGTCAGTAGACAGCTGAAGCTCCAAGAGGACATCACATACTCCATGGAGGCTGCCCCTGCACCCCGACCCCTCCACCCCTCAGGACCTGGGGACACGGCATGCTGACACGCGGGCAGTATTGCAGTCTAAGGTCTGGGCCAGAAAAGGTAAGGCTGTTATGTGACGGGATTGTAGCTGGGAGAGCAGAGGGCCACGTGGGCCTGGAAGAATGGAAGAGGGTGGAGGGGTCATTTCTGGTGGAGACACAGGTGGGGACAGCAGGTTGGCTTGCTCAGCCTTCCTCTCCACAGAGACCAACGATTGCACTCCTCATTAGCTGAAATACAGGAAGTAGGGGGAAAGGACAGGAAAGACTCTATCCTGCCTTCTGCATGGGACCTCTGGACCAGGGCAGGGAACTCACCCGGTAGCTGCCGGGGATAGCCAAGGATGGGAATGGCGATGAGGAACGCGATGATCCCGGCTCCCACGAAGCCAATCCACCAGGCGCCGACCCACAGTGGGCTGTCAGTCGTCAGATCCGTCCTATTGGGAGAAGCCGTGGCCCTTGGATTACTGACCAGACGCACATGTCCTTTCCAGTACATGCATGGGGGTAGCCTGCTCACTCTCCCTAGGATCTCTGTGCAGAGGGCAACAGGGGCCCATGGGACTACAGCCTCTCCCTCAGACTGGAGAAGCCCTCTGATACGGCTATCCCCTGGGAGGGGAGTAGCGGCTCCTCACTCAGGCCCTGCCTGCTAGACCCAGGGAAGCTGCATCTGGGTCTCAGACTGAGACCCTGGGGGCAAGGCCCACTGGGGACAGGAGCTTCAAGTAACAGCTGGTGTCCCTCCCCACACCAGCTGGCATCCTCAGGGCCACAGAGCTCAGAGGACAAGGGCTCAGCTGGAGTTCACAGAGCTACCCACCCGGGAACCATTAGGGTTCCGACTGCCATCTGCATAGGAGGAGAGAGGAGGGCTCTCAAACCGAACGGGGGAAAGCCATGGGAAGGGAGCAACTGGCCAATGGGATTTCATACTTTGGAAGAAAAGGGGGCAGGGGTGGGGGGGTAGGGGATGGAGGGATGGGCAGGACAAGGGACAGGAGAAGGATGGGGGAAGGACTCTAGGCAGCAAGGCCAGGACAGCAGTGCAAACCCTCTGCTCTGGTCCAATAAGGAAGCTGCCCCGAGACCTGGATCATGCTCCCACCCCCATGTGCAGAGTGACACAGAACCCAGACCCCAAAGGGCACAGCACATCCAGATCTGGGGGACACGAGCCTTGACCTACCTCAGGCTCTGCATAGACCACGCACCCTTGACCCCATAGTATCAACCCAGGGCTAGAGGCGGCATTGGGAGAGGGCAGAGCACTAGAAACCTCGCTGGCGCCATCTGCAGAGAGAGTCCCAAGGTGGAGTGGTGCCGGAAACCCAGCACAGCCACCAGGAAAACTCAACAAGAGCTGCCCTTCCGTGGTAGGACACAGGACCAGGCCACCTGCACAGCCTTGCTGGGCAGTAGTCAGCCAGGGCCAGCCCCAGGCCCCGAGCTCTGTCTCCCTCCATCCCTCTCCCTCCATCCCTCTCACTCCTCACTCTCCCATTTGCATTTACGGGAATTAGGTACTAAAGATACAGATGCACGGCCTGTCACTTAAAGAGCCTGAAGACGCATGGCCAGGGTTTCAGAATCGTGCGACCTTGAGCCCATTCCCCACCCCCACCCCCCACCCCCGTCTCCCACCTTTCCCTGGTTATGTCCTTGAAGCCACCCAAAGACCCCGAGTCTCTCTTCATACCCCCAGCCCCTGTAGCCCAGATTTTCCCCTGCTCCAACCTCAAGTTGTATTTATCAGACCTATCCTTTGGGGCCCACAGGCGCCAAGGAGGGCAGGCGGATAGGCCCGGTTACTCACCGTTGGCTCACTTCTGTGTAAATATTCAGCATGGCTCCCCCAATCAGGTAGCCTGCCGCGGGTCCAAGGATGGCTGCCGTGTAAAAGATGGCTGAAAGGCAAACAGAGCACGCAGCCGTCACGGGCCACCCGGTGGGGCCCTCCTAAGAGGCGCCCCCACCACGTCCCTGTGTCTACAGGCCCCATTGTGGACCCCTTTCCGGTCAGAGTGCATCTGTGTGGCCGGCGACCAGGAATGCCACGCAGGCATCAACCTTTAAAACGTGCCCTGAAAGTGGGCTTCGGACATCGTTCTCACTCACTGCTTTTGCATGGTGAGGGCAGTGTCCATGCGGAAGGAACGTGGGCAAAGCAGGAGACGGAGGCCACTGGGGGGAGAGAGCGGAGCCTGCTGTAAGCCCTGAGCTGCCCCCCCCGCTACCACCGCCCCTATCCGAGGCCACCTGGTGGACAGCCAGCTTAGCGGCACGGCACGGGCACGCAGTTGCCTTGAAGGCCGGAGGCCACGATTGACAGAACCTAGGAGCTGCTTCCTGGCTCTGCTTCAGCGTTCCCGAATCTTCTCCACTTGCTTCCCACCTAGTGAGGCCGGGCACAGAGCACACAGGGGGCCAGGCTCCATTCCTTTCCACTTAACCTCTTCTCACAGGCTCCTTCCAAACCACACACAGGCTCAGCGCCAGCTGCCTCCACCCCCAAGGCCCTGCCTGGGGACTTGGAGCTCCCTGAGCAGGCCCTACCCGACGTTAGCACCCACTCTTCCTGCCTTTGGAGAACCCCCTCCCCGATGGCTATGTCACTTCAGGTTAGAGGCACCTGGGTCGTGTGGCTAAGGGAAGGACATAAGATCTCCCCCGCCCCAGCCAGACTCCCAGAAGGTTTCAACTTCATTCCACCAGTGTCGCCTACCCCTCCTGACTCCTTGGCAAGCCCCACTCACCGATGTAGATGGGTGAGTAGCTTGACTTGACATTCTCATCCAGGTAAGTGACACCCAGTGTGTAGAGGGGTGTGGCGCCCACGCCATGCAGCAGCTGGCCCAGCATGAAGACCAGCCTGTAGCTGGACAGGCCCGAGTCCGTACACTCCACGTGACTCCCGTTGGCCTGACACGCCCCCGCCCCCACCCCCTGGTCCATGTCCACCTCATAGTGGCCGGCGGTGAAATGGGGCATTGCGAACACCAGGGAGCCGATTCCCAGGACCAGCACGCCCCAGCCCAGCCAGCGTGGCTTGTGCCCGTTGCCCCCAAAGTAGCTGACGAAGGTGAGGCAGAGGCAGGCGGCAATGTCGTAGGAGCTGGCGATGAGCCCGCTCTGGTAGCTGTGCAGGTCGAAGCGCTGCTCGATGGAGGTGATGACGGTATTGATAAAGCCGTTCACTATCATGCCCTGAAGGAAGGAGGCTGCGCACAGGAAGAAGAGGAAGCCCTTGGGGGTGTTGAAGACCTGCAGGCACTTGGGGGTGAAGGCTCGCCAACCGCACAGTGCGTTCTTGGGCCCCGCAGACACGTACTGCACCTCGCCGCCGCGGGCTGTCTGGCTGCTCCGCTGCTTCTCAACCTGGGGCTCGAACAGGGGTTGGCTGGAGGAGCCCAGGGGGCTGTGGGCCGAGCGCAGGGAGGCTGGGGACGCTCTGCTGCTGAGTGGGGTGTCACACCCACCACACCCGCTGTCTGTGGCTGCCGGGGACGCGCTGGTGAAGACGTGTTTCGGGAGGGGAAGGAAATGCTTGTCCCCCATCGCGTGCTGGGGCATCTCCGGCCTTGTGCCGAGGGCTTTGCAGCGTGGCAGGTCAGATGGCTTCAGAGCTGGCTTGACGAGATGAGAGAGCCTCTTGTCACTGGGTCTATTCTGTGAATAGAATTCCTCCTCGTTAGCAAACCTTTACCCGTCCCCTAATCGGCTGAAGTTCCTACACGAGCACTTGGCTCCCACACAGTCCATCACTGGAATAAGGTTTCTCCGACCCGGAGTAGCTCCTGGCCAGCCCCTCACATCTTGCTCCTGACCACAGCCCTGCTGCCGGTGAGCCACACCTGGCCTGGTCCAGCAGACTTTGAGGGTGTGGCCACACTCGAAAACACTGAAGAAAAGAGATACAAGCTAGAAGTCACCAAGCAGTTAGCAGAGCTGAGACATGGATAGGCCTATAAGCCCCCCGTGTGGCCTGGCCTGCACTCCATCCCTTCTTGGCTTTGCCTTGCCTGCCTGAGCTGTCCTCTACTGTAGGAGCAGAAGTGCCTGACGGTCAGCCAGCGGTAATTCAGACCTGAACCACATGGCTGCTGGTTCCAGAGTCCACATAGTACGACAGAGACATCTTCCGGAGGACACTGTGACCCACCACACACACAACACCCCCCCCCACACTGGTCCCAGACTGACTGTCACAAGTTGGCATCGGTAGTTGTATTTTGAGACTATGAACAGTAGAGATGCTTGCATACACATTCCTGGTATAATTGGTGGCAGTGACTGTGCCACTATTTCTCTACAAGCTCGTATTCCTGCCTGGGGAAGACAGTGCCAGAGGATAGTACCCGAGGCAGGGACAGTTCTCATGCTGCCAGAAGAAGACTCAAATCTTCTCTGGGCAGCCAGTGTAGCCAGGGCCCATGTAAACGTCACAGTAACTTGTATATACGTGTGTATACACGCACATATGTGCAATGTAGAGACCAGAGGTCGACATTGGGTGTCTTCCCCAATTAATTTCTACTTTTAAAATTATAGTGTTCACACACAGATTGCATCTGACAGTCACAGGACAACTTGCTGGAGTCTGTCCTCTTCTTCCTCTATGTAAGTCCTAGAGATTGAATTTAGGTCATCAGACATGGTAGCAAGTGTCTCCACAGGCTAAGCTCTCTCCCCAGCTTATCACCTTATCTTTTACAACAGGGTGTCTTATGACACCCAGAGCTCACTGATCTGGCTTCCCTTGGTCTGAAATCACCGGTGAGTGTCGCCATGCCTGTCCTTTTTCCGTACGCAGTGGGGGATCTGACTCAGGTCCTCACATTTGGGCAGCAAGCTCTTTACTTCCTGAGTCAATTCCCTTATTCTACTTTCTCAAACCGCAGTGGGACAGGACAAGAGGAGGGACAGAGAGGAGCAGGGTGGGTAGGGCCAGGTAGAAGGTGACAACGGCCATACTGCACGCCAGACTTGGAACCTGGGGTTGAAACAGAAAGCAGACTCAGGGCACAGAGCCAGAAGGAAAAGACTCGGAGGTTGCCAAACTCAAGGTCGCCAGAGTGCTGTTTGGTTTTGCCTTTAATCCAGGCTGGCCTCGTGCCCACTGTGTTCCCGCCACCCTATCCCTGGAGAGCCACTGGGGACTGATTACACGGGTGACAGGCAGATCGGTATACATAGGTAGAATGGAACTCAGATGGCAGCTTTTTGTGGTCAGTAGAGGACAGCGGGAAACAGAGGCATTTCTTCCCTGAAAATGAAAGCCACCACAGAAGCATTCTAGGCGTAGGTGTCACGTAGCACCAACATCGCCATGGTTTCACCTGAGCAAAGAACACTGACAAATATTTGAAGCACAATCTAAAATTAGACTTATCTGCATTCTGCACTGAAAGGAGCAAACTGAAATCCTACTTTAAATATTAGCCAAGTGGCTTTCTGACGTTTGCCACCGTCCCACTCTAGGGTGGCAAAGTTGATTAGACACGTGGCACGTACCAGTAATGCCAGCATATGGGAGTGGGGTCAAGATGGAAGGGTCGCAAGTTCAAGGCCCACCTAAGCTACAGAATCTTATTCGAGAAAGACAGAGCTGTGAGGTGGTAAAGATGGCTCGGTGGTTATGAGCACTCCCTGCTCTCCTAGAGGACTGAAGTTCCGTTCCCAACACCCATAGGTGTCTTGAAACCATCTATAACTTCAGTTCCAGAAGGTCCAATGCCCTTTTCTGGCCCCTGTGGGCACCTGTACACAGAAGGCAAATACACACACAGCCACATAAATAAAAACAAATGCTTAGGAATGGGCCACACTCAGCTGGTAAAGTGTTTGTCTTGCAAGCACGAGCACCCAAGTTCCAGTCCCCGGAACGCACGGTCCCTTTGAAGCTGAATTTCACGTTGCACACACTTACAATCCCAGCACCGAAGGGGTGGAGACAAGCATATTCCTGGGGCTCACTGGCCAGCTTAGTCTACCTTCCAAGTCAGAGAGGCACCCTGCCTCCAAAAGCAAGGTAGATGGTGCTTGCAATATCCGAGGTTGTCCTCTGCCCTTCACATACATGTACGCCGTGCGCACCTGCACACACGTGAACAATAACACAAGCGTACACCCCGCCATCACCACCAATAAGGGAAGAGGGTCTCACTGCATGCATGTCAGCCTTTGGGCCTCCGTGCCCACACCCGGAGCTGCCGTTCTTAGGTCAGGAGGACAGTGCTGCTGTGACACGTCCCCGTCACCAGCTTTCAAGTCTCTTTCCTAGGATCTGCTAGGTTAGGGGATGGTTGGAGCAGACCCAGTGCCACCCTGGTTAGACTACAGGTGCCCAGCATTTGTCATGTGTCACTGTGGGCATGCCAGAGAGTGACTTCTGGAGGAGACGCCGTGGAGTCAACAGGCACCACCCTCTGGAGGACCTGGCTGTGCCTGTTAAGGGTTGAGTCCGAGGGAGGCTGGCACCCCAGCTTACTGTCCTCGAGATCTTGCTGCACGTCCACCTTTGTAATCGCATGAGCCGGTTCCTAACAATAAATCCCCTTACATTTCTCACTGTCCTTCTCTGGGGAGCCCTGCCTCGTGCAAGGTCATTGCATCCCGTTGGCACTGATGCTGCTCTGCTAAGAACCAGGGCTCATGGGCACACCCCCAGGATACAGTCCCCATTATAAGGATCCCACAGCCACTACGCATGAGCAGTCCTTAAGACTTCCTTGCAAGCCATGTGTAGCTGCAGCTCAGCAGAATCCAGGCTCCTATGGGGCCAAACACGTGGAGCTAGGACTTGCTCACCCGTTGTTGTAAGGGAAGAGCCTTCTACAGAATATCCGACACTCTCGCTTCCATGACCAAACGTGGGCTCCCTGGGCATCCTGGATACATCTCCCACTGACTTCAATTTATATGGGAGGCAGGTCCACTGCTCCCCTCAGAAGGGTCCCCTCCCTGTACTCCTGATAGCTATCCTAAGACAGAGACCTTTCTCACACTGGGACTCCAGACGTGTGACTGGCCCCATCGTCGCCACTAAATAGCTGGTGGCGGGAGGGAATGCTGGAGTAGAGCCTGCCCGTGTGCCGGCCCTGGTCCCTGCGTCTGCTTCCACTCCTAGCAGCTATGTACCGGGGATGAAAAGTAGTTGAGGCCAGGAACCAGGCTTGGAGAAGTTTTCTCAGCCTGAGAAGGCTCCCCTGAACCGCCGCTGCTCAGGTGGGGAGACGCAGGGATGTGGATCTTTCACACAGCCCAGTCTCTAGTGAGCCAACCTTGCCTGTTCTGTCTTAGCCTGCCACGCTGGCTCCACCCAGCAGCCTAGCCCTGTGGGATTAGGCCAAGCTGATTAGCCCAGGATTGATGAAGCCCTGGGGCCTCTGTTGTCAGCTGGCTACTCCACACCTGAGCACCGTGGGGAGGGCAGGCGTGTGCGCTGGCGTGGGTAATACATGGGGGCTATTTTAGGAGGTCACAGGTGACCGAGATTCCCTAGCAAGTTCCCCCCAACACTGTCTTCAGGGCTGCAAGTGCAGCATCTAGCTGATGATGTCCTTCAGCTCTGGAAGAATCCAGCTGTGGCCTCCTCCTCAGCTTCTCTCTGAGTGTTCAGTGGTCAGAGGCAGCCTGCCACAGCCTAACCTGTGGGAAAAGACCCGGCTTGCATGGCTGCATGCTCCTCTGACTTGCTAATTTCCTCCATTCATCCATTTTCTAAACTCCCAACTGGAGCAGTCCCCCAATGCTCAGCTCACACTGCAGTTTGGAAGAAAGGATTTCAGAATCGCTCTTGAACCCAGGTCTCTGCTACCTGGGTCTCTGACGGTTGTTCCTAGGACGTCTTAAAGTCCTAAAGCTAGTATGTCAAGCAATATTTTGTTCCTGTTTGGGGACACTTTGAGGCCCAAATTCTAGACCCTCCTCAGATCTTGGCAACCAGCAAAACAGATTCATCTCTCTTCCCTTCTGTTTTCTCTCCTCCCCTCCCTTCTCCTCCCCTCCCTTCTCCTCCCCTCCCCTCTCCTCCCCTCTCCTCCCCTCTCCTCCCCTCTCCTCTCTTTCTTCCTCTCCCCTAAACCCCAACACCCCTCAGGTCCAGCCAGAAAGAGAAGTAGACAAAGGCAATTCTCTGTTCACTGCACCAAACTACTCTGGGGCCACTGCCAAACCAAGCCCACCTTAATCTTGGGCATTCCTGCTGAAACCACACCCTGGTCACCTGCCACCCCTGTGACCTTGGGACTCTTCTCTACCTCCTAATTTCTCCTAGGTATCTCCTCTTACACACGAGTGGGGTGTGTGTTCACTTCTTCAGGATGAGGCTCAGGCAATGGGGACAGGATGTGGGCCACCAAAGTTTGCACACCTGGTAGCCAGATGCAGGTGAAAGTTCAGGAAACCAGCTGCTTGGCACAGAAGCTGCCAGGGACTAATCGACAGGGAACATGAGTACGAGACACCAGGGCTGGCACCAGAATGACGTGTCCCACACGGAAGGTCTGCTGTCTCAAACTAGGTAGGTTTTCCATCTGTATCTGGGGATCCCAGAGCAACGCAGAGGGCTCTGCCAGGCACCGGGCTACAGAGAGGAAAGGAAGCTTTGCTAATCAAGGATCCCAAGTACAAAGTCCAAGGGTCCCAAGTATATATGGGTGGGGTGGGAAGGACCATTCTAAGGCAATCCTAAGTGTTCTCTGTGACTTGGGTCTGGGGGGGGAGCAGTGCCTCAGGCTTGCAGGTTTAAAAGTGGCAAGGCAAAGACAGGCATAAGAAAGGAGTACTTGCATAGAACTTGGGTGGGGAAGGAGAAAGAGCATGTTGGAGGTCCCTTAGCTCCCATCGTTTTGGATATTTGGTGACAAGGGAAGCCCAGACAATGGCAGCAAGCCTCACCCTACACATGGCCCCCAGTTTCTGATCCACACGTGAGTAGTTTTTGTTTTCTTTTAAAGCAGGGTTTCTGTGTGTAGCCATAGCTGTCCTGGAAATCACTTTGTAGACCAGGCTGACCTCAAACTCAGAGATCCACCTGCTTCTGCCTCCCAAATGCTGGGACTAAAGTCATTCACCGCCACCGCCACCGCCGCCGCCCGCCTGCGAGTAGTGTTATAAAAGGCATGTGGCTTGAGAAAGCACCACTCTCATCTACAGACGTGGTCCAGGATTTTCATTATTTTTTGTTTGCTTTTGCATTTTTCAAGACAGGGTCTCACTCTGTAGCTCTGGCTGTCCTAGAACTCACTACGTAGACCAGGCTGGTCTTGAAACTCACAGAGTTCTGGCTGCCTCTGCCACCAGAGTGCTGGGATTAAAGGCGTGAGGCAGGACACTCAGGCGATTCTAATTCTTTGCAATGCTATCAAGAACGAGGTCGTGCTACCTGTCCACAGGAAAAGAAGGGGTGTTGGGGAGAACCAGAGACCCTCCATGTGAGAGCAGCAAGTTTGGGGCTAATCAACGGAAGCAGAGGAGAGGAAGACCCCCCCCCAGATCACCCTGGCCCAGCTGCTGCCTCTGCAGTGGCCCACAAGAGGCTACAACCCGGGTCCAACGTGCTGAGCCATTTCCTGTGCTCCCCACCAGCATGGCTTCCAGGCTCCACCGGTCATGCAGAACCCTGGCCACCTGGCACATGGGAACACAATCCCTAAGGGCCTGTGAAATTACTCACAGTGACTGAGAACTACGGTTGCACCTCCCTGTCCCTCACGTTCAAGACAACACCAAGGTCAGACTTTCACCCGAATCCCAGAACAAGGTTGGTGGTGAGGTTCTGAGAATGAACTCCTGATCTCTCCCAGGGGTCATGGGGATCAGGAAGGAAGTACTTGGTCTCTGTACTTCACAAGGCATTGAATGTACCTCCAGGAGAAGCAAGGGGGGGGGTCCCCTCCTGCCTGTCAAAGAGCATCAGAGTTAGCACTGGCCCTTCCGTGTCTCAAATGCTTCACCCTGAAATGGACCCACTGCGGGGGAAGGGGGGAAGGAATTCAGGGACTCAACCTGTTCCAGTTTAGGAGATGGCAATGATAAGAATTCATACAGTGCAGCAGCACCCGCGTGGGAAACAGGTTAAGTCAGACGACTTCTGTAACAGAAAACTCACAGTTACGACGCCAGTATCAGCGAATTGAGAAAAACCTGGGTGTCTGGAAGCAAGGCAGTCACAGAGTGCAAACTGCTGCAGAGAGCTCCTCATATACCAGGGGCTGTGCAGGGCGGTTCCCGGTCTGGTCCTCAGTTGCTCCCCTGCTGGACTGGTTCACAAGCCTGTCCTGCCCCTCTCTTTGCCCAGTCACAAGTCTTTTTCTTGCCTGCCTGGTCCCTCTACAGTACTGGGAAAGGTTCTGGTTGGGACTTGTCCAGCACCTGCTCCAGGGACCACACCCAATGAGCCACAATTAGATCACCTAGGGAAGAATTTTCCAGGCAGTACCTGTTGGCCTTCCCTAGCAGACAGGCAAAGCAAGGCGGACCCAACCAAGAGACCCTTGGTCTTACGCATGGTCTTGCACTCTTTGCTGCACACGGACACGCCGAAGGGTGCCTGTTCTCCTTTGGTCAGTGAGACAGTCCTGGCTTCCCCTGGTAACTGATAGGCACTCCAAACATCCTGGTGCCTCAGCCTGCTGCTACTCTTATGCCAGGGAAATTTAAAACACTGCTTGGGGCTGCTCATGTCCAAAGCCTCCAGGCAGTAAACGCCAGGCTCAACCAACAGCTCCTGCTGTCCCCATTACCACAAGCTAAGATTTATAAATAATTCTGCTTAAATCCCAGGTGCTCTGTCCCCTGTCGTCCACCTGCCCCAGGCTGCCTAACAGCAGTTGACTAGACAGCTGTCTTGCTTTACTAAACTAGAAAAAAAAAAAAGCCACTACCCTGAAATAGGGATGGAGAGGTGGTTTCATTACGAATAAACCGCAGTGGTTTCAACGCCTCAGGACAGAAATACCCCATGGCCATGTCTGGGGGAAGCCAGCAAGCCTCATCACGCTAAACTCAGACCACTGAGCCTGAGGGTCCAGCAAGCTGCAGGGTACGACTTGTGTCTCTGTCTCACACTTCCGTACACCTGCGGATGCTGACCTGTCCCTGTGAAGAAGGAGGTACCCTGCCTCGGGTTCCCCGGTTTGGAGCCAAGCATGCCAAGCGGGCAACCAAAGCCGCCAGAATCCTCTTTGACGTTCATTCACCTGAGCCCGGGGGCGCCCGCGAGCATCGTGAAGGTGCCGGGACTCAGGGACCCGGACATCCGCGCTTCTCGGAGGGACAAAGCCTGCTGCCCGTGAGCAACTTTTGTGCTTTACGGTTTCCTCTGACTTAGCAACAGCCGCTGCCGCCGCAGGTGGATCTGTTCCTGACCAGACCAGCAGGGGCTTGCGTCCGCGTAAGCCTGCGCCCCCTTACCCAGGCCGGCAGCCCTAGCGGCTCCCCGCATGCAGTCCTGTGCCCCAGCCCTCTCCCATCTTCCCTCCGGCTCTGGCGCAGCGGCTCTGCCTCCCGCCTCCTCCTTTTCCGCAGACTCGCAGCTCCCTCGCGGGCAGCTGGCAGCAAGGAGTGGATTCTGCATCCGGCTCCCTCCATCCCGCCCTGTCCCCCACAGAGGGAACCCAGGGTGTCTCGCCGGTGCCAGGGCCTGCTTCCCGCCAGACATCGCACCCCGCGCCGCCCCGCTTCAGTCCAGCCTCCGCTAACACCTGCCGCGCTCCTGACGTCAGCAGGTCGGGGTCTGGCACATCTGAGAGGCGATCCCGCGGTGGCGCCCGACCCTGTCCCCATCCTGGTCCGATCCCCAACGCTGCCCAGGTCCCAGAGCACTCACCTTCCCGCGAACCCGGCTGCCGCGCTGCGCCCTGCGCTCTGGCCTTCGCGCGCAGCCCACTCATGCTTCATTCATCGCCCGAGCCTCCCCCGCAGGGGTGAGGGTAGTGGCTTCGCCACCACCGCCAATGGCAGCGCGGTTCGGGCGGGGCCGGGCAGGAGGTGACAGTGGCAGGAGCGCGCCAAGGCGGGGCCCAACGCGAGGGCGGGACCTGGGGCGGGGCAGGGGCTCGACCTACCCGGTGCTGTACCTGCGGAGATTTCTTGCTGCTTGCCCGCGCCACTGGCAGTTGCGGGAGAGGAAACGCAGCGGCGTGACGTCTAGGAAGATAGGGCTCAGGCCTTGCTGCGTAGTGGATTCCACCTGCTTCGGGGTTCGTACTCAAGCGTGGAACCGAGGCCGTGGAGGGCGCCGGTGGCGATCTGCTTAGGTGCGGGGTACAGCTGCAGCCTCGCAAAGGGCGCCCCCCCCCAAAAAAACAAGCAGGTCAACCAGCGAGCACTCCTCCCGAGGGTTCAAGGTTAACTAGACACTGGACTGACTAAGCTGCACCCTCACCTAGGAAGCCCGTGCGGTTACTGTCCCGGGGCTTCTTCCCAGAACTCAGTTGTGGTTTTGAAGTTAGCAGTGATCTGAGATCGAGAGGGAATATACCAGTCATCTTCCGACGGAGGTGTTCTCTGCTGTGCGGCCTTGAATATATTTATGAACTCTCTCTGGGCCAGTCTCTGCATCTGTAAAATTAAGCTTATGTCTGTAAGCCCATACTCGGGAGACTGAGGCAGGAAAATGGTCCCAGTTGCGTAGTGTGTTCCAGGCCACCCTGGGCTACAAGGGAAACCGGGTCTCACAAAATCAAACAAACAATGATTTAAAAAAGAGAGAAAGTGATCATAACCCATCATTGAAGGACGTGGAAAACAGAGGATGAAATGGGTCCCTCTGAGGTTAACCAAGGAACAACTGGCAGCCATTACCCATCACCATCAAATTTCTCCCTTTTGGGTGTAATGCATTTAATTGAAAAGACACAGGTGATTCAGGCATGGTGATACACACAGATAATCCTTTTCCTGAGAAGGCTGGATGTCTCTATTGGGAGCCCAACCTGGACTACCTAATAAGATTCTGTCTGAATTAAAAACAAAACAACAGCAACAAAAATAAATAAAACTTTCTCCTGCCCCCAATCTGGACTGGGGAAGTGAAGGCAGAAAAAAAAATAGTTTGTGGCCAGCTTGGGCTACACAGCAGGACTGTCTTAAAAACATAAAAACAAAACAAAAGTTTACAAGAACCAGCTCTGTGAGTGTGTGGACTCTGTAGTCAGCTCTGTGATGACATAACCAGGCACAAGGGTACGCCGGGGACAGCCCCGTAGTCCCAGATCCAATGGAGCCTCGGAGGCTAAGGCAGACCTCTCGTCTGTAGGGAAGGGACTGGCCGCTGGGCTTAGGTCTTTGTGTCACACTTGGTTGTTTATGAAGGGTGTCTTCCTTCCTGGAACCTCTGGTGATGTCTTCAGGGCCTAGGGTCTACTTGTCAGCATGCGCACCAGAAAGCTGAGTGTCAGTTCACTTGCCCCAAGTATTTACCTCCGTATCTGACACTTCTGGTCAGAGAACACCCCTAGGAAGAACAGACAGAGTGACGCTATGGGGTACACCCCTCCTTGCTAGAGCAAATAGAGCTTCCCTCTCTGAAAACCAGAGAGAACTTGCAGAAGATTCTGTTGAGAGGTTATGAGTTTCCCCCACCTCGGGATGTGTGAGCAGAACTCACTTGCTTCTAAAGGGACTCACAGAAACCTTCTCCGAATGTCAGGAGAAGGCTTGCACGCCGTGCTTCCAAAACTTAATTTTGGGTACACCTCTGAAACTAATACTGGGACGATATTTTTCCTTTAAACATCTGGTGTGTTTTATGAAAAGGGTAGGTTTGTTTTTAAAGAAGGTATCAGTGTTGATTACTATAGAAAGGTCACCACAAAAAAAAATAGATAAGAGTTTAACACGGTGATATTAAGTTCTAGCCGAATAGGAATGCTCACTGAGAGGCCTGAACTTCAAGTACTCCTCAGGCTCAAATATGTATTCTTAGCCTTCTTCAGACACCATCTAAAAAGTGATTCCAGGGTAAACATTCAGGTTTTAATGCAAGACGCAGGCCCTGTCCTGCCTTCAGAGGCCGAGCCATGTACCGAGGCCTTCAGGGGCCCTCGAGGTACCTGTGTGTCTGAAGACCTCATCTCCTTAGGCTGTGCCTGGCTCCTCAGAGCATTTGGTATTTCCTGTGATTAAGGGCTAGGAACCCTTAGAGATTGACCAGATTGAGATCTCTATCCAGGTGTCCAGGTTCCTGTCACCAGCGGAGAAAGAATTCAGACAACAGACTAAATGAGGAATTGGGAGAAAATTTGCTACAGAGAGAATTCAGGCTTCTTGAGAAAGATGCAACAGCCAGAAGCCTCGTGTCTCAGGGGCAAAATGCAATGGAGCGAAGATTACTCATGAGCTGAGGTGGGGGAGACGTGGGGGAATTCCAGAAATGAGTTGAAATTTTGCCTTTCTTGTCTTTGTATGGGGTCTTGAATGTGTCAGATGCATGGTGAGCAGACATTTTTTTTCGTAAGTGTCTTTATAGGTACCTAAGGCTGCATGCAGTTAGCATTCGCTCATTTCATCTCTCAGTCAGCTTGTGTTTTGCCTAGGCAGTTTTGGTGGTCTTGGGCCTTACCTGTCTGAGATGGCAGCCGGCCTTCTGCTTATGGAACCATTTGTGGGTTTTTGGAGCCGTTTGTGCCTTTCTAAAGTTTCTCAAAGGGGATGGAGATCTGGCACTTGCAGTACAGTGGTGGCCTCCTTTTCGAAAGGCCGCCTCCCACTTCATCTTGCCAGGGTGGAATTGGGAGGTCCAGGGCGGAGCCCCCAAGAGGTCAACCCCGGGGTACCACAGCAGCTTGCAACAAGGGCTGGCTCACTGTGAGCCCTGGAACATTCTGCACTCAGTAAGTTCTATCCCAGCAGGGTTTTTTTTGGAGAGGAAATAACTAAAAGGAAAATAATACAAGTTAACCCAAGTCCTGTTGGACAGCCATCATGGTCCTGAAGAGGGGCGTCGCTGTGTGCTGGGGGCCTCGGGGAGCCTCCAAATGGATGTTTATGCTTTCACGGGCAGTCGCTGTCCCTGTCATAGTGTTGGGAGGGACCCCAAAACACTGAAATGTGAACTCGAGTTAAATGCTTGTCCTTTCCCTACGGGCGTTGCTGTTGTATGGACGTCGCCGGTGCCAGGACAATTAATCTCCAGATTAGAAGGAGAAGTGAAAGGTTGGGGAGGGTCAGGTCACAGAGAGGACATTTCTCCAGGGCATGGATAGGGTGGTGGCCAACCTCAAAGGCCTTGGGTCTTAGGGCCCCAGTCTCAAAGTAGCCTACAAAAGTCATCTGTCGCTGGCACTTTGAAGGGTGTGACTTCCTCCCCTCCCCACTGGTATTCGTCTTGATGTCTGCTTTGGTGGACTTTGCATATATACTAGCTGAATCATTTAAGCGGGCCCAGTTCTTCCTTCTCTGGTTTATAAAAAGACCACGACACCCCTAGTGACAGTTGACCCATGAAAACACACTGGCAGCCAAGCTGTGGGCTGCGGCCAGGCCCCAGAGTCTCTGGGAGATAGCTATTCTTAAACGTTTAGTTAGGACTTGGACATTGTTTGGCATGCATGGTACACACCTGTAATCCCAGCACTTGGGAGGCTGAGGCAGAAGGTTGTCATGAGTTCAAAGGCAGCCTGGGGGTTACAGTTCGAAACCTTGTCTCAAAAAACGCAAAACAAGTGAATGGCGTCAGGACTGGACTTTGGTTGTTTCCTGGCTTTTTTGGTTTGGTGCGGTTTGCTTTTCTGAGACAAGCAACCCCAAACTTGCTTTTAAGCTGAGAATAAACTTGAATTCATGATCCTCTGGCCTCCCACATGCCAGGATGATGATAACCTGTGTGGCACCATATCAGACTATAGGACTTCACTCGAAATTTTGAGTGAAAAAGTTAGGTCTTGCTCAAAGTTGGAAGGGATCAGGCTCAAAGATGAAACCTAACTTTGATGATGTTTATAACTAGGTGTAAAGGAGCACACCTTGATGGGTTTGATAAGGGGTGCCGTATTAAGTAAGTAGATACTAGGACAGTGCAGTCCTGAAGAGATCGTGCCAGAGAAGAGACTCTCAAGGTTGGAGTGGTCTTGGGAGAAACCCAGCTCACAGAGTTGCTCAAACTTCTGGCATGGTGACACCACTTTAGCAATTAAGAATGCAGTGCCAGGGGCAGCTGGGGTGAGCGTGAAGGTCTTTGGTGGCAGAAGTCCATAGACAGTGAAATTGTGTGTATTCTGCCCCCAAAATTCCAATCCTATCCTGTAGCGCTATTGGAGCATGGTGTGGGCTGAAAGCTCTGCCTCGCCAACCCTGACTGCACATACTCCATTAGCATCCCTATGTCTCGGTCTCCGGTTCTTCTCACAGCGCTCGGCCACCCAAGCTGTCCGTGCCAACTGTCATCTTCCTGTTTTCCTTCTTTGCCACTCTGTGGAACCTTTATTGTGAACCGAGATACTGCCTTGCTGGGACAGGAGTCTCACCAGTTCTGCACAAAATGCTGTTGATTGGTCTGGGTGACAATGGCTGGTAGTTATGAGCAACCCACTCCGGACAACAGACCTCCGCTGTCCTTGTTCTGTGAGATGACCAAGAGACGAGCTTCAATTACGCCTTTGTTTCAGAGACTCGGGGCTTCGTGAAGCGGCCGCAAGGGGCTCAGAGCTGGCTCGCTGGGGCCTCCCCTCCTCCCGAAGGCCGGTGATGTCGGTTTGAACTTGCTCAAGAGGCAGATATTCAGATGACCCACTCTGATAGTATTTCATGAAACATATCCCAGGCTACTGGGCTGGCAACGGAAGCTTTGGCCAGGAGAACATGTGCAAACACAGAGTCTGGCTTACCCGCCATGCAGCCAGGCTCCGGTACCTACCTAGGTGTGAGGTACTATGCTCTAGTGCCTACCTAGGCATGTGCTTTCCCCTGACAGTGACCACCTGGAGTACCTTAAGGCCTTAGGAAAGACCCAA